TTTTTTTTTTTTTTTTTTTTTTTTTTTTTTTTTTTTTTTTTTTTTTTTTTTTTTGATTTGACATACACGTTGAATGAAGTAGCCATTTGGGCTATGTTTATTTTCTTGTGCTTGTGTTTCTTTCTTCTTCCAACAATTTCTTCCAAGAAAAAAAAAAAAAACATCAGAAACCTCTCTACCGTTAGTAAAACATTTATTTTCAACCATTTAATTAAAATTTGTAACTCAATTTCCATATATATTTTGGAAAATTATTTTGTAAACGGTTAAAAAAAATATTATAAATAATTATTGTATAATGAATAAAAAATAAATATCAAATTGAATAAAAATAAAATAAATATATCGTAAGTACAAATGTATACGTATATATTAAAAATAAAAATAAAGTTAGGTTTTTTTTAAAATTTAAAATTAACATTAAATTTGAGTTTTTTTTTAAAATTTTAAATTAACAATAAATTTAAATTTTTTATAGACTAAATTTAACAAAATTTTAAATTACAAAATGTTGCACTAAATTATTATAAAATTGAAATAAATAAAAACTAAAAGAAAAAAAGAAAAAAAAAAAACCATCTCGATTGATGAAGAGAAGCGTGAAGATGAGAAAATGAGTTTGTCCCACATCGGACAAGGCCAAGAAGCAAGAGGAAGCGAGAGTATAAAAGGGCGTTGAGATGGCTGAGAAAATCATACCTTTCTCGGCCTTTTGGCTAAGATCAAGTGTAGTATCTGTTCTTATCAGTTTAATATCTGATACGTGGGCCATCGGCCCACATGATATTAAATTAATTTTTCAAGGGGGAGAGCCCACTATGGTAGCTTGCTACCCGGGCTCTCAAGCGTCGCCCAAGTGTTGCAGTATTGCTCGGGCCTGGCGCACTCCTCCAATATACAGTAATAAAATTACTTTCATGAATTTATTTGATTATTTATACTTAAAAGTAATTAAAAAGCTTTATGGCCCAAACAATCTACAATTAATGATATTATTTGGCCCATTACGTTTTCAACCATTTTATTACATTATTTTATTTGTAAGAATTAAATTATTACTGACTTATTATACTTCAATTATTATTTATCATAATTTTGTAAACTAATTAAAAATATTATAAATAATTGAAAATGTTATTAAATTTTTTTTATTCAAATTATTAAAATATTTTAACAAATTTGATTTAATGATCATTCTTATAAATAATGTAAATTTTAGTTTTTGAATTTATTTAGCTATTAGTATTAATAATTATTCTATTCTCAAATAAATGATTTATGAAGAATTAAGAAAGAAACAATAATAAACATTAGCGGAAAAAAATTAGAAAAAAATTATAAAAAGAAAAAAAAAATCTCCAGAAACACAGACTAACTACATTACCTTATTAGAGGAAATTCTCAATTGCGCCTAAAACATAGATCTTTACTTCTTCAAGTATGATATTTAAATCTAGCATAGTAGCAAGGTAACAAAAAATCAAGTAGCGAACTATATATATCTTATTACAAAGAGAAGAGTGAAGAGCTTTAGATTAGAGAAGCATTTTCCGATGAACTAGAAAAATGATTTCCATTTCCATTATTGAAATCTTATTACAAAGAGAAGAGTGAAGAGCTTTAGATTAGAGAAGCATTTTCCGATGAACTAGAAAAATGATTTCCATTTCCATTATTGAAGTACACTCAATATGATGAGTGATCTCTGAATCGTTTGAGGAATCAAGAAACTCAACAATGAATCGTTTGAGGAATCAAGAATCGTTTGAGGAATCAAGAAACGTTTGAGGAATCAAGAAACTCAACAGTGAATCGTTTGAGGAATCAAGAAACTCAACAGTAACAATTATAATATGGATAGTATGCATAATGTCTTATCTACAAAGATAAAGACCTTTGGGAGGTCATTGGTGAAACCAAAATTATTCTTCTAGAGGAGGATGCTAATGACACCTTGCACAAATGGAAAATCAAATGAGGCAAGACAATATTTTCCATGAAAACCACAGTTGAAGAAGAGATAATAAGTCGTCGAAAGAAGCACTGGAAGAAAAACGATACGAAAGAAGCATGAGCTGTTATTAGTTCCACAACGTGAAATGGCACCTTTCACTGAAATGACACCTTTCAAATTTTGGAGCACATTTGGGAAAAAAAGACGCCGAAAGAAGCATGAGACCCATTTGTGACGCTTTTCTAAAAGAACAACGATACGAGGTTGCAAATTTTGGAGAATTGACTGCTAGTAATTTCACAACGCGACATGAAAATTGTTCAGTACTTCCATAGGGTCAAGTCGATATGTCAAGAGACTACTAAACTAGATATGAGTCCATCATTAGAGAAGCTCAATAAGCAAATTGAAGGTATCACACTAAAGAGTGAAGAAGCGCTCTACGCAAGTAAAAGTCGAAACAATAATAAGCCATCGACCAAAGTTGGATACAAAATTGATGATAAAGGAAGAAGTTACCAATGAATCACACAATCTTGGAAAGTTCAGAAGAACAATAAGAGTTCTCAAGAGAAGAGATTTGAAAACATTTACTACAATTGCAGAAAGAAGAGCCATATGTCCGAGGACTGTTGGTTTAAGAAAAAGTCTGTCGAAAGCAATGTGGCAACCTCCAAAAAAGAGATGGAGGATGAATGAGATGCAAAGGTACTATGTGCCTTAGAAGAAGACGAGCTTGCACTCATGAGGATAATGAGAGAGCATATTATGAAGCGGGAAGACAATAAAGAGTAAAAAAGTGTGTTGGTACACACAATCAACAACTTACATATGCTAATTGTTAGGTTATGGAGCCTGGTGCGTATTTATAGCTTGGTTAACGGTTATATCCGGTAAAGATATATTTGGTAAAGCTATATCCGGTAAAGCTATATATGGTAAATAGCTATATATAGTAGATGGTTAAATCGGGTAAAACTATATATAGTAAATAGCTATATATAGTAGATGTTAAATCTGGTAAAGCTATATATAGTAAACTGAACTATATATATATCCCGTCCGGTAGAGCTTTGAAAATATACTTTCTATTCTCTGTACTCTCTCTTGTTGTACATACTTGAAGTCATCAATAAAAAAAAAAAATCCTTTTAGCCAGAGTTCTCCTTACAATTTTCACTATCCCATTCTTTGTGTTCATCTAGATCGAGCGTGTGCGTTGTTGTGCGAACCTAACAATTGGTATCAGAGCTAACAACTGGTATCGATCTCAACAACTGGTATCAGAGCCAGGCGGAAGTCACCACGATCTGTGAAGATGAAAAGTTCAAAGATTGGAACTGAGAAGTTTGATGGATCCGATTTCGGTTTCTGGAAGATGCAGATTGAAGATTATCTGTACCAGAAAGATCGTCACGAACCTCTGTTGGGGGTGAAGCCGGATACCATGACCATGAAGCAGTGGAAGCTCAAGGATCGACAAGCCTTGGGGCTGATCCAGTTGACGCTATCCAGAAACGTGACGTTCAACATTATCAAGGAGAAGACAACGTCAGGTCTGTTGAGACGCTGTCGAATATGTACGAAAAACTGTCGGCTATGAACAAGGTGTATTTGATGCGGAGATTGTTATGAGTCCTTGTGAGACCTGCGTTACGAGCAAACAGAAACGAGTTAGCTTCACAAAGACTGTTAGAGAATTGAAGAAAAGTACCGGAAGCGTCGCTGAAACTCCAGAGGGGGTTGCGTCGGTCGGAAGCATCGCTGAAACACCAGAGGGGGTTGGGCCGGCCGGAAGCGTCGCTGAAACTCCAGAGGGGGTTGCGTCGGCCGGAAGCGTCGCTGAAACTCCAGAGGGGGTTGCGTCGGCCGGAAGGGTCACTAAAACTCCAGGAGCGGTTGCATCGGCCGAAAGCGTCACTGAAACTCTAGGAGCGGTTGCGTCGGCCGGAAGCGTTGCTGAAACACCAGAGGGGGTTGGGCCGGCCGAAAGCGTTTCTGAAACTCCAGGAGCGGTTGCGTCGGCCGGAAGCGTCGCTGAAACTTCAGAGGAGGTTGCATCGACCGGAAGCGTCGCTGAAAACTCCAGAGGGGGTTGCATCGGCCGGAAGCGTTGTTGAAACTCCAGAGGGGGTTGCATCGGCCGGAAGCGTCGCTGAAGCTCCAGAGGGTGTTGCGTCGGCCGGAAGCGTCGCTGAAACTCCAGAGGGGGTTGCGTCATCCAGAAGCATCGCTGAAACTCCAGAGGGGGGTTGTGTCGGCCGGAAGCATCGCTGAAACTCAGAGGGGGTTGCGTCGGCCGAAAGTGTTGTTGAAACTCCAGAGGGAGTTGCGTCGGCCGAAAGCATCATTGAAACACCAGAGGTGAAGCAAGTGGGAGTTGAGGTTGAGTTGCTCAAAGATTCACAGAGTGATGTTGTAGCGGATACTCAAGAAACTCCTGAGACTCTTGCTGAAAAACCAGAGGTGAAGCAAGTGGGAGTTGAGGTTGAGTTGCTCAAAGATTCATAGAGTGATGTTGTAGCGGATACTCAAGAAACTCCTGAGACTCCTGCTGAGAAACCAGAGGTGAAGCAAGTGGGAGTTGAGGTTGAGTTGCTCAAAGATTCACAGAGTGATGTTGTAGCGGATACTCAAGAAACTCCTGAGACTCTTGCTGAGAAACCAGAGGTGAAGCAAGTGGGAGTTGAGGTTGAGTTGCTCAAAGATTCACATAGTGATGTTGTAGCAGATACTCAAGAAACTCCTGAGACTCTTGTTGAGAAACCAGAGGTGCAGCAAGTGGGAGTTGAGGTTGAGTTGCTGAAAGATTCACATAGTGATGTTGTAGCAGATACTCAAGAAACTCCTGAGACTCATGCTGTTGGTGAGGAACCCGGTCTATCATTCAAAACACAGAAGGCGATACCATTTCACTCGGAGGTTAGTTGAAGATGGTGACGTGTTTGGAGAAGATAGAGGGTGCAAAGAATTCAGCAAACATGTTGACAAAATATGTTGATGTTGGAATATTGAGGTTGTGCAAAACCTCAATTGGTATGGTGCAGTGAAGATGCTCATGGTCGTTTGAGAGTGAAATTCTTGGTTGACTAGATCAGTCTCCAAGTGGGAGAATTGTTAGGTTATGGAGCCTGATGCATATTTATAGCTTGGTCAACGGTTATATCCGGTAAAGCTATATATGGTAAATAGCTATATATAGTAGATGGTTAAATCGGGTAAAGCTATATATAGTAGATGTTAAATCTGGTAAAGCTATATATAGTAAACTGAACTATATATATATCCCGTTCGGTAGAGCTTTGAAAATGTACTTTCTATTCTCTATACTCTCTTGTTGTACATACCTGAAGTCATCAATTAAAAAAAAAAAAAAAAATCCTTTTAGCCAGAGTTCTCCTTGCAATTTTCACTATCTCATTCTTTGTGTTCATCTAGATCAAGCGTGTGTGTTGTTGTGCGATCCTAACAACTGGTATCAGAGCTAACAACTGGTATCGATCCCAACACTAATTGCTTAGATCGACAACACGACGATAATGCCTAGTAATAAATCTGATATGGTGTTACTACATTATGTCTACCATGCATCAAGTATAAAGAACTTATTGTCAATGTCACAACTAACAATATCAGACAACTATTTCTTGCTTAGTTAGGAGGTTCTAGGTTCTTAGTTATGATAATGTGGATCTTGATCCTTCTTCTAGTTTCTTATCTTTTGTTCTTGATTCTTTGGTTTTAGTTTTTTTCCTTGACCTTAGTTCATATTCTTGGTTCTTGTCCTTAGTTTTTGTTTTCTTTCTCTTCCCTAAGACACCCCCTAATATTTACAGTACAAGACATAAATATGACAATCTGCATCCAAGACTTCATGTGTTCCAAGATACATAGTCTAAACCGACATTCAGTTTTTTTACATCCCTTGTGATACGATCTGAAACCTTCACCCAAGGCTTCTTACGTTTCAGGCGGTGTAATTTGAAACCTACGTTCAAAGCTTCATACATTCCAAGCGACACAATCTAAAATTTGTATCCAAGGCTTCTTACATTCCAAGGGATGCAGTTTGAAAACCTATATTTAAGGCTTCTTATGTTCCAAGCAATGTAGTATGAGTCATAAACATGTTGTACTGTGGGAGGTTTATGGCTTCTTGGTTCATGACTAATGTAATATACTCTCTTGTGCTAACCAGAGACTTATCTTGGCTTCTTAGTTTCTTGTATCATGAGCCATGGCATGTAGTCAACTTGGTAGTTATCCTCATCATGTCTCATGACTACTCCCCGTGAAGACCTAAAAGGTCACATGATTGGTGCATAACATGGACGTAACATCCTGTTAGGTAAACGTGGTGCTGAGTGTCACAATCATAATATGAAGAGAGTAGGTTGTGACCCTCACGTTGCGACAATAAAAGCGGCGACCCTCAAGTGGCGCCCATCTGGCCACGCGAGGGCCTAGACGAGTGCCATGATGCGAGCGAGGAGGACGATGCATCATCCAACACACCACCACGCGAAGTGGGCATTGAAGACAAGTTGAGACATAAGCAAGACAAAGACATCAGAATAGACATGAAGGGAAGAATAGGCTTGTTGAAGGGCCGGGTAGGGACCTGGGCCTTAACCTCAAAAGTTGGGGTTCCGGAAGGAATTTAGGCATGCGGTTCGGGAGTTAAGTCCGTTCATATGAAATATAAATGTTCGCCAAGTTTGATGTCAAGCAGACACCGGACGGACAATGCATGACACCGTATGACCGTTCACCAAAATTATGTCTACGCTTGGAAGATTGAAAATGGCTCAAAATGTACTATAGGGGTACCATGGTGTTAGCTCTCCACCACCCCTGGGCCCTGTGGCCTAAGTGAGCTACCCTATGGCACATACGTGTGTCACAGTGTGGGCGAGCGTGCCGAGAAGAGAGTCTTGGGCGACTTCCTTTGAAATGGATTTTTGAAGGGCAGTATCGGACGGCACGGGTGTGCTGGTATTGCGCCCTAGCCCGTGTGTTGGAGGTTGCTACATACACCCACTATCTGGTACGGTATCCGTAAATGACTCGGCATGGGCACGGGAGTGCCAATGCCTCGATAGAACCCGGATGGATGGATGTTAGGGAAGTCTCGATGAGATGAAAGACACACGGACCCATTCTCGATGGCATGACCGAGCGAGTTATGATGGCCGACGACATCTCGAGACTTGGGATGGCATCAAGACATATGAACCCTGTCGATGGAGATCAAGATGGCAAGATGAGATGCGACGTTGCATTGAGAGACTTTGGCCCGAGCAGAGCCAAGGTTGAGTCGAATTACTTGGCATAGTGTAGAGGCAAGTCAGATGCGTCGCAGACGATTGAACATGCACGAGCAGGCGGCGTGTATGGTTGAACAATTTTGGATTCCGCACAAGCGATGTTCGATTGGCGAAGACAAACCTTGCCTAAGGTCCGACAAAGCCACAAAGCCGGGGCGAAAAATATATATGGGACTTAATTCCCCTTAAGGCTAGTCGTGCGTGTCAAGATCACGACGCCGTACGGTCATAAATGTAGGACCATTCCACTGAGCATCTTATATAGGTGAGGGAAAACATGAGGCCGAGCATGTCATACTACTAAGAAAAACTAGGTGGATGACATCCCGACTGGAAGAAGAAAACAAAGGTCTCAGAAATGTACTGCGTGATGGGAGGTCATGGGTCACCTTAGGCATGATTAGAGTATTATCTAGCATTCTTTTAGGGTCATGGTACCTTTAGTGCATGAGTGTATAATGTTCTTGTATTTTCCATGTCCTCAGGGTAGTAAATCTTGACATAACATTATCGGCTAACCCTCGGGTAATACGTACTAGAAACACACCCAATCTTCATGGCATGCTTAGAGTTCATGACCCTAAAGTATACATGTCTTATTCATGTAATATATCATCCTCGTGAGCTTAAGTCATTCATAATATCTTACTTGTCATAACATCGACTCTTGAGTTCATGGAATGTAAGATGCAATTATATAAGATTCAAAGAGTAACCATTCCTAACCATACTATCTTTGGTTCTTTGGCAACCCTTGTGAAGCTAACTTGTTTTTTTGTTTGCCCATAATGCATCTCTCCCAAAGATCCATATCACAGATTTCAAGCCTTCTAATACTCTTTTCGTAACCAACATAACGCTCATATGTCCAAGCACTCTCAGCACAACAACCATGGTTATACACCATACGCTAGTGTATAAGGTTCCATATTTTGTGCCACGTGCTACTACCATCGCACCCTTCACAATCTTCTATGAACTCCTTCCAAACCCTGCTGCATAACCTATGTTGTCCAACTGACTAAAGGAGACAGGTTCTTCTCAGAGACCAGGAATATATCAACACCATTCAATTGTTAGGTTGAATGGCGCAATGACCTCTATGGGTCACGAACTCATATATACATAGGAGATGTGTACAATGAAGATTACATGCATAAGTCTTGATCCACGACAACAAACCAGGAAATCAGGAGACGCAGCTCCTATGTTTAAATATCACTCTAAGTTTAACACTTCCCCCCCCCCCCCCCCCCCCCCCCCCCCCCCCC